CGAGCAGGTCACGGAAGCCGGCGGGCCTTTGCCGCCCTTGGCTCGTCTGGGAAGCCCGTCTCCCCTCCCGCCCTGCCGGGTCCACCGGGCACTTAGGGCAGAGTGAGGAAGGGAGTGAGAAAGCTCTTTGCAACAAGGTAGCTTATTTTCCGTAGACGCACAGACACGTGTAAAAACATTTGATCTTATAAATACTGCGGATGGGGACCCAGGCGTGCACCGCCTCTCAACTCCCTCGATGTTTTCTCCGAGTCTCTGATGGACGGTCCGAGTCCCAGGGCGCGATGAACCATCACAGACCCGCTCTGTCCTCCTTGCCGGAGGGGACATCCCTGGACGGTGGGAGCCGAGCCTGGGTCACCCTCGCAGCCGCCGCAGAGCCTGGGCCGGGGAGGGGCGTGTGCCCTGCTGGGCGGTGCTGAGTGAACCTGTGCTGCTGCTGCTGCTGTTTCCCGTCCACCCTCGTGCCTCTCCTCACATCCCCCTGGAGGGAGGGCACCCCCTTCTCGGATACCCCCATCCTTTAAGGCCCAGTTGAGCCCCACTTCAAAGGCCCCTTTTCCCACACTCCAGCTCTCCCCACCTGGGCCTTCATCTGAACCCTTCCCCAACTCGCAGCCTGGGCCACAGAGGTCAGCCCTTTGGGGTGCCTTGACTCATTTGACATTTTAATGGAACATTGGCAGCATCCGGAGCCGGGAAGGCCATGTCTCAGAGCCTCCTCTCTGGAACCCATTCGCCTCCCGAGTCCCATGCGGACAGGGGCTTGGTGTGTCCTGTTCCCCTTCCCATCCCCAGCGTGAGTCCATCACCTGGTAGGAAATATTTGTTGAATGAATGGCTGGATTTTACAGAGGATAGATACTTAGTAAATACCTAACTTGCACTCAGATGCTTTGGAGTTGGGTGAGCACGGAGTATCCCAGGACGGGAAAGTAGCCCGTGGCGAGGCCGAGAAGGAGCCGGGCTCCACTCTGCAGGATGGGGAGCCACTCGCAGGGCGGGCAGGAAGGAAGAGCTGTGTTAGGGAGTTATTGCAGCCGTGAGCAACCTTGGTGGGTGCTTGGTTATACAAAAAGCTGGAGACCCAGGCAGAAAATAATATAGACGGAAGGGCCTGAACAATAGCAGCAGCAATGGGGAGAGAAGGCGGAAAAGCACTTTGAGTGGGTTGGGGGTGGCCGCTGGGGAGAGCCTGTAGGGTTTCGTTACAGCCGACAGAACTGGGGAAAAGGAGAGAGTGGTCTGCTTCTGTCAGAACAGGACGCCTTTGCTCTGAGACATGTAGGGCACTGGTAAGACCAGAGGAAAGGGAAGACTGACGATATAGCTAGAAGATGCCCACAATGAATTTAAAGTTAAATAAAAATAGATGAATCTTCTGGAAGGAAAGGGGGGGGAATCCTCTTGAACTAAGTAAAGATCTCAGGTTGGGGAAGGAATATATTTAGGGCACAGGAAGCGGGTGAGGAGCTATTGTAGGAGATGAGCAAAAAGGGCTCATGGAAGAAAGAAAAGACTCCATGGCATCCAGGACAGAGAGTTTAGGGAATATGTCAGGGGTGTGTGTGTGTACACATACGCACAGAATAAAGTCTGAAAGGATATCATGAGCGTGTTAATTGTGTCATCCTTGGGTGATGGGATCATAGGAAACTTTTATTTTCTTCTTTTTTTAAAAACCCGCCTGAGGATATTTTTTCCATGGCTTTACAGAGAGGGTAGAAGAGAGAGAGAGAAACATTGATGTGAGAGAGATATTGGTTGCCTCCCGCACTCATCCTGACGGGGCCGGGGATCAGGCCTGCAACCGAGGTCCATGCCCTTGGCTGGAATCACACCCGGGACCCTTCAGTCCGAGGGCCGACACTCTAACCACTGAGCCAAACCAGCCAGGGCTGTTTTCTTTTTATATATTGACCGTATCTGATTTTCCTGAAATGAAAGCATTATTTGTATAACTTTGAAGAATTACATTAAAAATATTTGAGGGAAGGGTGTTAAATCAAATATTATAGGAGAACTGAAGTCTGAGTCGATTGTTAGGATGGTAGGAGCCAAGTCTGAGTCATCCTCACATCCACTGCAGAGCCTGGGGCCCCTCGGGGAGGGAGCATGTGCTCTGCTGCTCATGCTGCTCAAATAAAAATAAAGCCACGTGTCGGCTAAATAATAAATAAACCTGCCATTCCTGCCTGCTGTTGACACACTCGATCAGCAACCATTAATTGAGTGCCTACCGGGTGCCAGGCACTGTTTTAGATATTGGGCCAGGGGGAGGCTGTGAATAAAATAGGTAATATTTCTTCTTGTCATGGCATTTACGTTCTAAATGTGCTCCAGTAGCACTTCCATTTTAGGTGACCAATTGGGACAATAAACTGAGATAAAAGACGTGGAAGCATTTTGAAAAGTTGGTATGCTAGGGGGCTAAGAGCCAGTTAGTGTTGACAGATTCAGAGAAAATAAAATGATTATTCATGAATGTGACACACAGATATAGAAGTTCTGGGGTTTTACATCCATGCATATGTATATTTTATACACCCTTAACACATTTCTCATTTAGTGCCTTTGTATTAAGACTGAATATCCAAGGGCATCAGAGCTTGAAAGAGGTGGAGTGCTGCCAACCCTAAAGGTATAAGCTGGGGATTTGAGGAGGGGAAGGAAAGGAAGAGAAAGGAAAGGTTCAGGATATATAGAAAATTCTGGAACATACCCAGGGATAACAGGTAGGACTATACTCTCCTCTTTTAGGAAGAGAAGCGATATTAGAAAAAAGACACAGCCACAGCTGTTAACTTCTCTTTGGAAGGGGTGTACGGTGTGGGAATTAGAAAACCTAGATTAGCATCCAGCTGCCCCAAGACCTTCTAAGACCTAGTCAGTAAAATGAGAGGGTTGCACTAGGTCAGTGTTTCCTAACCTTTCTGATGAAGACTCCTTTTTAACAACAAGAAATTGAGGACCCCCCTCCCGTGTAATTGTGGTTATATACAGGACTATGAATTCAGTAGTGTGTCTAGAGGCATTTGTATTTCATTCGTGGGAACTTTGTACGTATGGCAGAGATGACACGACAGGCCGTTCTTCAGTGATGGAAAGGTGGTGAACATTTGAAGTCGTGGGACCCTCGCCCATAGTCCACGGGCTGCTTGGGCATCTTGAGAACCACTGCATTGGGTCTCTCCATCTTAGATCTCCTCTGCTTTGTAGCTCCGATTTAAGATAAAATATCAGGGCATATTAGTGTATTCCTGTCTGCTAATGGAAGACCCTTCATGGAGGAAATTAACCATTCTGTCTGCATTTCAAATA